TTGGTGACTTGGTGGCTGTCATCCTCCAGAGGCCATTGGACAGTCAGGCTTGGGCCCGCAGTGACGAAACTTGTTGGGTCTCACGGGATGGGGGGGGAGGTGGAGCCGGGCCTGTCTTCCCCACCCCAATGAGACCCCAAGTCATTGCCCACGAACGGCCTCTTTGGCTCCTCATCAAGCTGCTCAATGGCCATGATCCCAGAGACTCAGGAGCAGATCTCTAAACCCAGTGGCTTTTGGCGGAAATCCCTCCAGATTTAAGTGTTAAAATTTCAGAATTTCAAAACCACATGGTCCTACTGCAGCCACACGACATCATATGTTATTCATAACCAGCAATAGAACACAAATTGTCTATTCTTGCCTTTTCAGCAGATCTGAGTGTTGGGGTAAAATCTTAAATAATGGTGGGTCTGGTGTCGAAATAGTGAATGTGATCAAAGTAGAGAGAGAGTAATGTAGAAATCATCTGCCCCACAGGCAGGGGGAGGGTGTGGGATAGGGGTATACTGGGATTTTTGGTGGTGGAGAATGGGCACTGGTGAAGGCATGGGTGTTTCATTGTATGACTGAGACTTAGACCCAAAAGCTTTGTAACTGCTCTCACGGTGATTCAATAAATAAAATTATAAAAAATGGAAAAAGAAAAAAAAAAGTAAGGTGGAGTTCATGCACAATTCAATCAGCTAATCAGTGGCTGAATAAATAGCAGTACTCCTACAAAAAAAGAAAAAAAATTTGTTTAGGGGTCACACCCAGTAGTGTTCAGGGGTCTCTCCTGGAGAGCTTGGGGTGTCTATGTGGTACCAGAAACTGAATCCAGATTACACGATTCTTTCTCCATGCTATGACATTACATGAAGAGTACATGGCCGTCAACTGAACAAACACCAAGAAAAACTTATAACTGCCACTGCATTTGTGGAACATTTTTCACTGAAGGTACATATTTTGATTATTGGTATTTTGCTCGAGCGGACCCAGTAACGTCTCCATTGGAGACTTTGTTGTTACTGTGTCTGGCATATCGAATACTCTCAGTAGCTTGCCGGGCTCTCCGAGAGGAGCGGAGGAATCGAACTCGGGTCGGCCATGTTTGGCTGCGTGCAAGGCAGACGCCCTACCTGCTGTGCTATCGCTCCAGCCCAGATTATTGGTATTAAGGGGAAAAAAGTATATCAATTATGGGTCAAAAACCATGGCAGACTCAAAGTTATGTTCACATAACCCTCTTAAATAGGAAGTCACAAAAACCATGGCAGACTCAAAGTTATGTTCACATAACCCTCTTAAATAGGAAGTCACAATCCAAAGCTCAAGCCTCATCTTTGACTGTTTAACGATGGTTGGTAAGGATTAGAAAATTCACCAACTGAGATGCTGCAGCTGCTGTCTTAAATCAGCCTGAAAGCATTGTGCTTTATGTCCTCTCTTCAGCTTTTCATCCACATCCACCGTTTTAACAACATTCAAAATATGAGGAATAACAGATATTATTTCTAGCTCTTGGGGGCTGGAGTGATAGCACAGCGGGTAGGGCGTTTGCCTTGCACACAGCCAACATGGCCGACCCGAGTTCAATTCCTCCGCCCCTCTCGGAGAGCCCGGCAAGCTACTGAGAGTATCTCGCCCGCACGGCAGAGTCTGGCAAGCTACCCGTGATGTATTCGATATGCCAAACAGAGAAACAATAAGTCTCACGATGGAGATGCTACTGGGCCCGCTCGAGCAAATCGATGAACAACGGGAGGACCATGATGTGATGTGATGATTTCTAGCTCTTATTTTTCCTTTTGATTTCAGGCCTTTACTGCTAGATGTTTCATAGATACTTCAAACTCTAGTATTTATTCTAAAGTCATTAACTTCCCTCTCCTCTTTATCTTTTTTTTTTTTTTTGGCTTTTTGGGTCATACCCGGCGATGCTCAGGGGTTCCTCCTGGCTCTGCACTCAGGAATTACTCCTGGTGGTGCTTGGGGGTCCATATGAGATGCTCGGAATCGAACTCAGGTCAGCCGCGTGCAAGGCAAACACCCTACCCACTGTGCTATCGCTCCAGCCCCTCCTCTTTATCTTATAACTACCCTATGGTAAAACTCCATGGCTGTGAAATCCTTATTCCTAAACTCAAATGTATTATCAAGTTATACTGAGTGGGGCACTTAAATATTGCTCAAATTTATGTCCTCTTTCCACCTGTAGGGCTGGTAGTTTGGCTTGAGGATCTTACTAATTAGCATTTCACATATTTATTACATAAGATACAAATTTGGACTGGGTGGTCTTAAAACACTTTCCACTAAAGCTGGGGTTCATATTTACTTTGCTCACCCCTTGCATTCAAGCACCTAAATACAGCAAGAAATTAATACCTAGTTCAGCGGAGGAAAGTCTAGAACTTGAATCATGATACAAACCAACCATTTTTTAAAAAGAAAAAGCATTTTTGAGCAATCTGTAATAGGAACTAACATTTTCACAGCATAGTCATTTGTCACCATATAATAGCTGCACATTGTTTTTAAGCAATACCAGCACAAATAAAATAGTTAATAAATGATATTTGCACTACATAGTTTTTGAAACAAAGAGCTGGCATAAAATCTGCAACGACTACACAGTGAACTGTGGTAGTAACTGACATGAAAGAATATCACTGATTGTATTCAGTATTAGTATATTTCCAAATACTTCAACAACAACAAAAAACCCCAAACCAAATAACAAGAGATGAAGCAAATGTTAGCATCTTGATAGTTACTGAATCTGAGGTCTGGGTATGGGGTGATTTCTGAGACTAGTTCGTCCACTATGGGACATAGTTAAAATTTTTCCTAATGAAAAATTAGTTTGTAATTAGACTGAATGAGCTTAAACAGTAATTTTTGCTAACATTTCATCTTCTGCTGTATTCCAATTTCTAGATAGGCACAGATTGCTGGCCCTAGCAGGGGTTCCTGGTGACACAATGGATGACACATTAGGCCTGGTTTTTGTGCAGATCCCACCATTACTTCAGTCATCATTAAGATGCCCCAAAGTTAATTTTAGTCAGGGGATCTTGATTAGATTATGCTGATGACCCAGAAGTAACTGTTAGTACCAACGCTGATCCATGCTAAGTCTGGACTTGTTGGCAACTGGACAGAGCTGCAGAAGTCCTGAGAAGAAACAGAGCTTGAAGAAACCAGAGCTGGGAGAAAGGTTGTAAAGCAACAATCCTCCTCCATGTTGGATCCCTCCTCAACTGGTGCTTGGCCTACGTGCACATCTACTCCAACTTGTATGTGAAAGAAAAATTTCCCAATGCACCGATATTTAAAAACAGTGGAACTGAAACATACACAAATATTCTAAACCATTAACTACTACAGAGAATATACTGCTCATCACAGAAGCTTCCTAGCCTGAGTGCACATCACTGGACCCCACAAGGATAGGCACTTCCTCTAACTGAAAAGTTGCAAGCACAAGGTTAAGAACTTTTCTAGAGAATAAACAAGATCTGAGCCTGACTTCTTTGCAAGGGCTGAAGAAAAGAGCAAAGAAGGTTTGGGGAGCGAGAGAGGGCAGTGGGAAATTGGAGCCATTCATTCTTTATGATGTCTTCCCCGGAGTTAAGGAAATAGTGTGCTGGGAAAATGAACAGTGAAGTAAGAAACTAGTGACATTTCTGAGAACATTAGGAAGGAAGCGGAACCACAGTAAGCAAAGATCCCAGAGAGCCAAAATCTCAAATGATAAAGAACATCTCTTTTAAAAAAAATCCAGTGTCACTTTCTGCACTCTTCCAAGGTCCCACTAGAGAGATTTCTCTTCTGGATGGAACAAGGTACATAGGGATAAAAACTGAGAAGATACGGATGATTCACCAGCACAAGTACAGTGCCAAGAAATAATTACAAACACACTGATCTACAGCGTATTTTCTCCCACCCAAGTTAATAAAAGTAGCCTCTTCTACTTCTTCATGCATTAGGGAGGATTCATATAGATAAAAAAAAAAAAAGAAATGAACAGGGGCTGGAGCGATAGCGCAGCGGGTAGGGCGTTTGCCTTGCACGTAGTCAACATGGCCGATACAGGTTCGATTCGCAGAATCCCATATGGTCCCCCGAGCACCGCCAGGAGTGATTCCTGAGTGCATGAGCCAGGAGTAACCCCTGAGCATCGCCGGGTGTGACCCAAAAAGAAAAAAAAACAGAACAAAAAATCTGCTAATCATCTCACCAAATTCGAATGATCTTCCTAGGTAAGACTATTTCAGGGTATAGGTCTGGAGTAGCACTGTAGCACTGTCCTCCCGTTGTTCATCGATTTTGCTCGAACAGGCACCAGTAACATCTCACAACAAATTGTGAGACTTGTTGTTACTGTTTTTGGCATATCGAATAAAGGAACGTTATGGAAAAGCTGGGCCAACAGGAGGAATCAAGTTGTCATTAAAAAGAAAACGTAGGCTTCTATGCTACAAGAAAAGTTCAGTAGAGCAAAATGTGCCCCCAGAGAGCAGGGTTTGAGTGGAGTGAAGTGAAAGGTCCAGGACACAGGAATAATGTTTCTTCCTGGGAAGCTTGAGATTAACAGCAAGGGGACTAAGAGAAAGACGGAAGAGTGTAATTCCCACTACCCCCACCTCCCATTTTATCAACGGAACTTTCCGTCTACGAGAGGAAAAAAAACTTCTGGATCTGTGTCAAGGGAGTGAACGATATCTTGAAAGTTTGGCAAGAAACCAAAGAGCTACACCCACACTCGAAGCTTAAGTGCTTCCAGCACACTCACTAGACCACAGATTTCCCCAGCTGGCAAGTGTGGGGAGAGCTGGAAATGGTGAGAAGGGCGGGACCTGAGTCACAGTGCTTGGTAACATTCCCAGATGAGGGTGGAGGAACTCATAGGTGTCAGGAAACTCCTATACCTCCCGCCTTAGTCAAAGGAAGCTCGGGCAAGACAAGGAACAAACAAAAAAGGGAAATTACAGTGAGGAATGGTTTACCTTCGGAGAGCAGTTGAAATGCATACCGGGTACTGGGAGAGTAGTAACATACATTGTAATACACCGATACAGGTACAGCGTGCCAACTATGCAGAAAAATCTTCTGCTAATAATAGACCTAGAAAAAGGGAAAAATGGCAGACACTCAGTCATGAAATTCCACAGGTTCATTTACTTTAAGTTTTCGATGACCCATCAAAAACAAGTCCCAGAAGTCCCTGAGAAATAAGAAGAACTAGGGTGTTATTACTATAGCCAACAGCAGATTATGGCAAGGATCTTTGAGAGAATGAGGCAGTGGTTTTACTTTGGGATTTCAATAGTTACTGGCAAACAGTTTAAAATGCTTGACACTGCTATTGAATAGTATTGGAAAGGGCTTAAATCTGAATTGACATTCAACTGATGGACAAGTGGGCCCTATTCAGATTGATCAGAGGCAACTTATGAAAGAAAAAGTGTTGAGAGTATGAGAATAACATAAAATGGAAATTCAACACTTTTCTGACATCTGATGAGTAGCACTCCAGCACTGTCCTCCCGTTGTTCATCGATTTGCTCGAGCTGGCCCAGTAACATCTCCATTTGAGACTTGTTGTTACTGTGTTTGGCATATTGAATATGCCACGGGCAGCTTGCCAGGCTTTGCCGTGCGGGCGAGATACTCTCGGTAGCTTGCCGAGCTCTTGGAGAGGGGAGGAGGAATCGAACCCAGCTCTGCCAGGCTGGCCGCGTGTAAGGCAAATGCCCTACCACTGAGTTATTGCTCCTAAAAAACAAACAAACAAAAAAAACCCCCGTATTTGTACATTCCACAATCTACTTCTATTAGCTCATCTCCAAGAAAGAATGATGTCAAGAAAAGAGGCTGTCAGAATGACAGTGCCCAGTCTCACCTCTCTCTGCTTATTATGTGGTCTTGGGATGGCCTGCTGACATTTCTGAATCTCAGAATGTCCTAATCTCAAGGATAATAAATAACATTTGAGATATTGTAAAGGAAATCCCTCCCATAGATGGACAATGGCTGTCATCAAATGCACAGGTTACAGAGACAAGTAACAAAATAAAGCAAGAGATGGAAATAGAAATCTCTCCATTTTAATTTAATTTGTTTCTAATGACATTTTTGATACATATGTATTTATAAAAATTCTCCTAAGATCAGGTTCTACACGTATCTCCTTTAATTGATTATGCTGTATGAACTTAAGTGTACCCTCGGACAAAACCTTATATATTCCTCTTTACTTCTATCCTGTTCTACCCTAGGCGAGCATCATTAATCCTGTGGGTCTTGGGTCCTGTGAGTCTCTTCTTTCTCAGCTTGGAGTGATTCAAGTTCTCTTGGTCTGAAGAAAGCTTGGTTAAATACACAAAACAAACAATAACTAAACAAAGCACAGATTTTCCTCTGAGAATATTTAACATCTGATCTCTCTATAATTGTAGAGTGCAGACTTTAAGCAAGATGGTCATTCCTAAATTTGATAGTCGGAAGAAAATCTGTATCCTTTGTACAGAAGGAACAAAAGGATGTCATTTGTGTGATTAGAAAATAATTTAAATGACCAGAGAGTTAGAAGAGCGGGAAGGGCACTTGCCTTGCACACGAACAATAAGGGTTCAACCCCAGGCACCCCATATGGCCCCATGAGCCCTCACAGGAGTGATTCCTGAGTGTAGAGCCAGGAATACGCCCTGAGCACTGCTGGATCCGGCCCCCAAACAGAACAAAACAAAACAAAACAAAACAAAATGAAGTCATCACTGTTATTTTGAAATTTTATTTAACTGTGCTTTATTCAGACTATCATTTATTTAAATAAGTCGGGCTATTTTGGTAGAATTAAGGTGTCTTGCTCCTTACCTAGATTTCAAAAACTGGGTCAAAACTACTTATCTTTTCTTCTTTTATATAAAGCTAGTGTGCCACCTTCAAGAACAAAAATTTATTCAGTATAAAGCTGTCTTGTAAAGGTATGTGTCTCTAATTTCAAGAAGGACAAAAAGCATGAAGTCCTGAAACGAGGACACCAGAGAATAATTCTACCCCCTAAAGTCTTACCTAATGAATACTTAAAATTGCAAAGTATGTATCTTTCTTTAAAAGAGAATGCCCTTGCTGGCCACCTTGCTCAGAAAGAAACAGTGTGTAATTTCATCTGAACTTTATGTGAAACAAGGCTATACATGAAACACCTAAGAAACTGCCACTGTCACTGTCACTGCCCTCCCGCGTTGTTCATCGATTTGCTCGAGCGGGCCCAGGAACGTCTCCATTTTGAGACTTGTTACTGTGTTTTGGCATACCGAATACGTCACGGGGAGCTTGCCAGGCTTTGCCGTGCGGGCGAGATACTCTCAGTAGCTTGCCGGGCTCTCTGAGAGAGGGGGGGGAATTGAACCTGGCTTGGCCAGGCCAGTTACGTGCAGGGCAGACGCCCTACCGCTGTGCTATTGCTCCAGCCCACCTAAGAAACAAAATAGTTAATTTTATATAAATTTATTAATATCTTCTGAGGAAGAAAAATGCCTACTGTCACTCAATTTTGGTAAAGATTGTTGTCTCAAAGTCACTTTGTCCTATTTCATGGTACAGGAGACACTCACACATATGCACACCAGTAACTATTTCTAGATTTCAAATTTGAGTCAAATATGATAAGCATTAAAAAATTACAGGTATTACCTGAGAAAAAGGTATATGAAGAAAATGGTTAAGGATGAGAAGCAAAATCCTTTTACAAAGTGTATGCTAAAATGAAAGACATTGACAATTTAGTCATATTTACTCCTTGATTTGAAGTGAAAGTCAAATGACCATCCATGTGACATCATCAATATAACAAGGCAACAAATTGGAAGTGGCTGTTAATAAGAATCTTCTCATCTTTGGCATTTACTTAACCTTTTTGAAATCAGGTTTAGATTATCTTCAGAGCTTAATGTTAAATAAAGATCTCCAACTACAAAATTTAAGAAGCACAGTAAGAAGTATCTTAAAGAATTGTGGAAGGTATTTATTTCCTTAATTTAAGAATTTCACACACGAGAATACTTAGAAGTTTAAAGTTCAATGGTGTGTTATTAAAGAACAGCAACAACAATATTCAAGTGGTTCAATATGTAAGAAAAAGAAACCAAAAAGCCGGAGAAGGAACAGAAAGGAGCTATTACATGAGAACAAGTAAGCTCCCAGAACAAGATGCCTGCCCTAACTGTCCAAAGCAAAATGGCGTTCTTCTCAAACCATTTCTCCCAGTGTTGGAGAGAGGACTGTTTCCCGTCTGCTCACACCCTGCTGCGACAGACACTTCTATCTGGTCAAGGTTATCTATTCCTCTGCCAAGCAACTGACGAGTAGGCTTGTGCTTTCTACTTTTTACGAAAGAAAAGTAATGGATTAAATTTAGTCATAGTAAAATTTGAACACCAGTGATTTTCCTATAACTTATTAAGACTTTCAGAGTAGCGTGTTGTATCTCAAACAAGTGACAATCAAATTGAAAAACAGCAATTTAAGAAGAAAAAGTCCTCAGAATCTGATTAACTACTACCCCAAAAAAAGGCTTATAATGGCAGTAGTACATGGCTTTGAGTACAACAGGTTTAACTAATCATGAAAGAAAACTGGTGAAATAAAGTTACATACCAGAAAGTAAACATAACATTTCAGGGTCCTTTTGTTTCCTATGAGTTGTCTCTTTCAACTAAGCTGCGGCAGAAGACGTGCATCAACTTTCCCAAGTTTAGTCTTGGTCTGAAAGCTCTTTATGGAAACAGCTGGCCTCCAGAAACAAACCAGAAGTGAAGCAGAGCAGAGGAATTAAACACAGACCCAAAGCTAAGGAGGTCTAGAGGGGAGGCTGAGCCCAAGTGGACACAGACAGAGGTACACGTCTCCGAGCAAGTCGGCCAGCCAGTGCAGGAGGCAGGTCCCTGCTTAGGTATCCCAGGCCGTGCTACACACACAAGCAGTACTGAGCTTATCTTCCTATAGATACTGGCTCTGCCATTTAGGAAGGCCAAGTCCTAAGCCGGACCATCTCAAGGAACCTCCTTGAAGACCAGCTTGTGGGCCAGCGAAGGGGCACCTTTTCCTCATGAATCAGAGAATGCTATTGAGGTCTTATTCCCCACAGTTTTGCTCATAGTAGCAAACGGAGCTGCCCATTTTCTCCTGTATCCCAAGCTCTGTGCGACTTAGATCTTCAAACACCTTGTAAGGCAGGGCTCTGATCCTTGTTTTACAGATGAAGGAATTGCAGCTCAGAGTTTAGACTGTAAAACTGTAATATAAATGTGCTACAAAAGACAGAAAGATTCAGAAAACCTCAAATTGTGTAAGGAGTCCCAGTTTTCATCGGAGAGCATACCACTGTGCACTCTCAGATAAGGAAACATTTAAGTTACATTTAAAAATCACTTATGTATTTGGGGGGGGGGGCTACACCTGCCATTGTTGAGGGCTTACTGTAACCTGGCTCTCAGAGATCACTCCTGGCAGTACTTGGGTGCCAGAGATCAAATCCAGGTGGTCAGCGTACAAGGAAAGTGCCCTACTTGCTGTACTATCTCTTTGACTCTTCAAAACCTATGTAACTCAGATTTTCACTATTCTGTATTTTGTCATATTTCACACTGGTCTAGAAGCTCTACAAAATAAGCACTTTGACAGTAACCTAATAACCATATTTGTTTTTAAAGCATTGAAAAAGTGTAGCTTGATGACCACCCAGTACTAAATACATTTATTTTTCATGATAGGCTGAAACCGGCTGCATCCAGTTCAATCTGCCTATAATTCTTCCAATTTTTATATAATCAGTCATTCTGAAATGTCACCCATTTCTCAGCCAAAGGTCATTCCTGATTTTACCTGTGCCTCCTTGAGATCTACTCTATGTGAAACAGCCAGATCATACCCCACCTGTCTCTCTCCCCACCTTCAGCAACACACAGACACATACAGACACACACACACAAACACACAGAATACAGTAAGCATTAAAAACCTTCCACTGCTTGCCAAAGAGACTATGAATAGTCTAAATTATTTACTGAGTCAATGAGACACCCCTCCACCCTCTGATCTCTAAATTCCCACATTCTGTT